ACAATATATGGTGATGGATTTTTATAAAAAAAAAATCCTTACAGTTGTACCTGACGATATGTTCTTGGTTGCCCACTCTATCTTGACAATAAGGATATTTCTGTATTTCCCAGTATAAGTCTTATAGTTTTATTTACGATGGCAGGTTCCTACAAATAATGTAATAAAACCTATAATTATGGTCCTGAAATATTTGAGTGCAGATTAAATTTTATTGGAAGTGATTTCATATGAATTCTTGAACATCAATAACTCTTTTAGTTTGAATGCAACGCCTTATATTATATGGCCACGTCAGATGTCAAATTCAATTGTTTATCGAATACTACACTATATATTCCTATAGCTAATTATTTACGTTTTTAATTAAAATGCACACTATCATTACGCAAAGCGTTTTAAAGAAATTTCTCATTTTTCAAGTCTCCTATGGTGTTTCGACAAGTCGCATTAATATTAACTTATAGTTATTACTCATTTATAAGTGTTTATTTCCAAATTGTACTATCATTGACAACGCAACGGTTGTTTGTGATCTTGTTATCATTATTTTGTTACCAATAACGATAGTTCATCTGAATGAATAAGGAACTGACATGATTTTTATATTTTTCTGATTGATTTGGCCGTTACTTAGTCAAAAACGTATAGGGACTATGGTATAATGAGTTCGTAGGCGATAAAATATTCCTCAAGAAGAGCTCATACCCTACATTGTTTTTATCTATCTTATTTACTATATCTACATCAATGTCTCTGAAATAATGATTGAACATATTGGCAATCAAATTTGGTGATTCTACCATACAGTTATTGTCTTTTATTATTATATTTTTTGCCTACTATTTGACTTTAGTCAAATGAGATACAATTCCCCACGCTGCTTTATGAATATTGTCCGCGTTTTCTATTTTACTCTGGTAGTATCGTTTTTTAGTCGAATCGATCAGTTTTGTTCATAACATACACAATAATTCTGATTCCAATACACATCAATTTATCATTATTCTCCATAATCAATACGGATGGGCAGTGAATGTATGGGGCGGAATATGGGTCAATATCTGAGTCTTATTTTTTCCAAGATAGTTTGAGCAGAATGTTGTTTCTACAGTTTTTGACAAATCATTTTCCAGTGTAATCATTGACAAATCATTTTCAGTGTAATCAATTATTGGTCGACCCACGGGGGAAAATGTAACATTTGGTGTCAGAAATGGGATAATTGACTGAAATTTTGCTGTTTCATGTTGAAAACAAGGAGTATCGAATGAGTGGAGATTGGAAAACGCAGAAAAGAAGAAGATGAACGCAAAATAGAGGAAGTACAATTACGCCGAAATGAAGATCGTGAAATACTACTAGGTATTCAAGAAAAACAGGAGAAAGATAGAGACTTGCTGGTAAATATTCAGGTGAAACAGGAAAACCAGAAAAAAAGACAATCAGATATACCTTCATTCATTGGAAGATTTGAAATATTTCCAAGTGAGTACAGGGATATATTCAGGAAGAATTTAGAAAAGTATTTCAAGAAACAAAGGAGGGATTGGAAGAAGTAGTCGATGAGAAGCTTGAAGGGGTTGAAAGGAAATTTGAACAGGAGTTTGAATAGATTTTCCGGGAACTTCGGAAAGAGTTACCGAAACCGAAAAGGATTACTGTGGAGAATGCAAATCGGAAACGACATCTTCCTCTTCTAGCAATAGTTTTATTAAAACTCCAACTTTCGACGGCGAATTCTCATGGTTGATTTATCGCAGACAATTTTAGGCCGTTGCGGAAAACAATGGGTGGAGAAACGAGAAGAAAGCAAAGCTCTCATTTTGGCACTACGAGGAAAGGCTTCCGAAATTCTGCAAAATATTCCAATGAATAGGCAGAAGGATTATTAAGCAGTCATATCCGCTTTGGAGGTCAGATATGGTAGTGAGCACATTCAGCAAGTCTACCAAGCTCAAATGAAGATGAGAACTCAAAGTCCATCAGAAAGTTTGCAAGAGTTTGGAGCTGAAGTCGAAAGGTTAGTGAGACCAGAAGCATCAGATAACTTCACTCACTGGATAAGTGTCCATAGTTTCATCGACGGGGTTCGTGACAAGGAGCTGCAGCAGTCATTGAGGATGGCACGTCATAAAAATTGAATAAAGCCATCATTCATGCCCTAGAATTTGAAGCTGCTAAAAATGCTTCTCGACAACAACGAAAAGTTCTAGTGAGAGCCATTGATGAAAAGGAAGATAGTAATATAGCCATAGGAGTTCTAAGCCATTCCTTATGGAGAAACAGGTGCAAACTTGAGCAGGTTCATTCTGGCGTTTTTTGGACCTCAGGCCTACTTCACATGGAAGAGGCAAAGGTCAGCGCCTCGCCTCTGCCAGACGTCCATTATGTGTAAACTGAGCCTTAGCCTTCAAAACCCACTTCAGATCACCTCCATTTCTCCACTTTTACTGTCATTCAGTCAACCAATCAGCTATCGCACATACAGCGGGAAATTCAAACCACCAGTAGATGAACAACGTATGTACGAGCGCACTTCAAGGTCATGCGTCGCTGGTAAGTATTTCCGAAAGAAACTTTAGTGAGTGGAAGAGAGAAACGTGTGACGTCATCGACGCAGGTTGGAATGAGTATCGAAGCGATTCAAGCATGGAACTCGGCCCCCTCAGTACTCCGCCACACCTATCAGCCCCCTTAGTATTCCTCCTTCGGCCCCCTTGGGAGTTATGAGAATCGAATCTGGATCGTCCGCGTGGTCCTTAGCCTCTACACCAATGTAAGATATTGAAAGAAACTGCGAATGATGGGTATTTATAGCATAAAATTTGTCGGGCCTGAAATTGGCTTATTTTACATACGTGACCGCATTTTATTGATTTCCGTGAAATGAAAGGGAAGTCGTAATCGTCATTATCATGTTGAAGATAGGAAAATATACTTAGATTTGGGAAATGAGCAATATTTAATATAAAAATGTGTTTGTGTGTGTGTAAGAGCGATGACGCGTGTGACGTAATCGTTACAAAGAGAGATGGAAATGGTATCGATGTTTTACGTTCCTAACGCAAGCAGGTGTTGCCGGTTGTGAAAGAAACCGTTGCTTATGGGACAATGTAACGTAACGTAAATTAAGCGTGAACGACTTGACGAAGATTAGAAGTGCGAAAGTGATATATTAATAATAATGAATCAGATTTGAGAAAAATTATGACAACTCAACCTGCGATCTCTCAATGTGTACGAGGTGTCTCAAAATACATCATTAAAAGAAAAAAAACATGACGTCGAACTGTACAGGGTGCGACAAAATACATCATTTATGAAAAAACATTACAGTTCCACGGCTTTAAGGTTGTAAGTTTTCAACGTGCGATCCCTCAAAGTGTACAAGGTATCTCTAAATACATCATTGAAAACAAACATGGCGTCGAAGTGTACAGGGTGCGTCAAAATACATCATTCAAGAAAACAACATGTCGATTTATAATATAATTGATCAAATTATCAGCCAAAGCAACTGAACAGTATTTTTATGGTGATTTTTCCAATGAAGTCATTTTCTAAACTGTAATACTTTTTTTAATCAAATCAAATCTTTGAGACGTTTCTGAGATTAGCCCAAACAAACGCACATACAAACATTCTAAGGGTTATTTTGAATAATAATGAATGAATAATAATTTTGAATAATGTTGCTTCCATTCACTCATAATTTTTTTAATGTTACCTGTAGATCTGATTTTGTCTTCAATAAAAAAAAACCTGTACCTACCTCTCTCAATAGCGTTTCATATATAAATATATGAAAGTAGACGATTCTGACAATCAGTCTCAGTTTAGTGGCTTACAGTGTTTTTTGAACACTTTGTGGCAGACAGCCAAGAGTAGGTGTATTGTTGAATCTGTGACTCAATTTGGAATAAACTCGTGGTCTTACAGGATGGATTTTGGATCACGTGCAATTGTCAAAACCAACCAGGAAAACATTCGATCACAATTCGCTTCAAAACTCACATTAGCGGAATCATCAACGGATAGTCTGAAGAGATCCCCTCTTGAGGAAGTTGGACATAACCTTTGGAGATCAATCCAGAAACACGGCAAACTTTCGGATCGGAAACCAGATCTCCCTTCGACCTTGAACACCATCGCACCAGTTGCCATTCAATCTTCCCATACTGGAACAAACAGGTCAAATATAAAACATCAAAACAAGTTAATTGCCGACAACAGGTTCACTAAGAAGCCTGCTGTTGAGTCTTGCTCCTGCGAGCAACTCGATATTGATGATCCAGATGAAGACTGCAAGAAAGGATCCTTATATGGTGACCGAATATTATCAGGATATTTTCAAGTACCTATATGAGAACCTTGGAGGATAAGTATCCTATCAGAAAAGGTTTCCTCGATGGACGTGAAACAACTCCGAAGATGCGAGAAATACTCGTCGACTGGCTGGTGCAGATGCATTTGAAATTCAAAATGCATATTGAAACACGTTATATGTGTGTAAGTATTATTGACAGATACTTACAGGACAACAAGGTGGGACGTAATACATATCAGTTAGTTGGGACATCTGCATTTTTGTTAGCTGCTAAATACGAAGAGAAGTTCTATCCCTGCATGTATGATTTAAAGTTCATCGGCGGTCGCATTTATTCTAGAAAAAAAATTCTACAAATGGAGAGAGACATACTGGTTAAGCTCGATTTCGGTCTGGGTCGCCCCTCATCCATTGAATTTTTGAGAAGGTACGGTCAGATTGCTAAGATGCGCAGGGTTCATCATGTCTTGGGAAAATATATGTTGGAGCTGGCACTTATGGAATACGGCATGAGCCACGTAAAACCATCGCTTCAGGCTGCTGCAGCCTGTTGTCTATCAATGAGAATTCTTAATGGCATTAGCGACTTGTCGAGTCTTTGGAATCCAACCCTCATTTATTATACGGGTTACGAATATGCTGACTTCGAAGGACTTGTAGTTTGCTTGGCAAGAATTTTGATCAAAAGTGAGACTTCCAGCTTGCAAACTATCAGGAGGAAGTATGCTGGTCCAGAATGTGCAAAAATAAGTACAAGTTCGTTGTTGAAGGGATCTCTTGTGAGGAAGTTTGCCGATATGACAACTTTCTAGTAATGGAGCCTTATTTGGATAATTATATTTGATAAACACTGTTTTTGAATTTTTGCTTCTTTGACTTTTCTTGTCTGAATTTTTGAGGTGTCCAAAGAACGGGAAATAATGAAGTGAGTTGTTTTATATAACAAAAGGTGGGCAGTGTGCTGGTATAAAAAATAACAAAATAGAAACAAGTACATGAAAAAACTTCTGATTTCATTAAAAAATTAATGAATCACAAAACCGGAACGGAGATCTAGTGAATTTCGATGTTGTGTCCTAAAACTAAATTATTTTACCGGTAAGAGAACTAAGAATACGTCTCAACAAGTTGTTCAAAAATATTACCAATTTCGCCCCACCTCACATTAAAACAGCATTAAAAATTCACTTACTTTAGTAGAATACATAAGAAACCAAACCACGAAATAACTCCTCAGATACATGCAATACTTGTCGACTGGCTAGTAGAGATTCACTTTCACTTCAACATGCATCAAGAAACGCTTCATTTGTGTGTTAGCATAGTAGGCAGATATTTACAAGGGAAAAAGGTAATGGGACGTGACGTTTTTCATTTGGTTGGTGCATCGGCATTTAGTAGCTGCTAAATATGAAAGGACCTACGTTCCCAGAGTGTATGAATTTGAATTCTTATGTGTCGGTCTTTATTCTAGCGCGCATATGGAGAGGGAAATTTTAAAAAAACTGGATTTCAGGCTGGAGTATCCCTTGTCAATTCATTATTTGAGGAGTTACGGTAAGATTGCTGGGATGCAGAGTATACATCACGTTTTAGCTGAATATTTATTGGAGCTGGCACTTTTGAAGTATGGAATGAGCTATGTGAAGCCTTCACTGCAAGCCTCTGCGGCTTGTTGTTTATCAATGGGAATTTTGGATGACGTTATGAACTTGTCAAATCTGTGGATATCTACGCTCAGTTACTATACGGGGTACGATTATGCTAAGTTGGAAGATGTTATAGTGGGCTTCGCTAACATTCTGGTTGAAAATCACTCTTCCAGTTTGCAAACTGTTAGAAGGAAGTACGCTGGCTCAAACTGCGCGAATATAAGTTTGAATCCGTTGTTGAAGGTAACTCTTGTTAGAAAGCTCGCCAACGGGACGTCGAACAGCTGGTTATGGTGAGGAATTAGCTAATTTTTCTCCTTTATAATCATATAATATATTCAATATTGCCATAATCAATAAATTTATCAATTGTTTCAGATGAACTTTTATCTCCCATCAGCGTATATTGTCGTTTCTGCACTAAATGGTTCCATTGTGATTGTTCAAGAAAAAGCTAAAAAACAGGGTCATCTGTTAATATGTAATATATGCGATATTTTCCATTTTGTAACATACGGCTGCTTGTAAGTGATGTGAAACTCACTATTTGTATCATCTTCCTTGGCTACGAGCCATTATCTTTGTGTTCTGGGTTTCGGCCTATGTCGGTCGAAATCGAGCCACGATCACATAAAACCTTAGCTTCAAGCTGCTGCAGCCTGTTGTCTATCGATAGGAATTCTGAGTTCCATCAGTGATATATTTCTTCAAATAAAGTTTGTGTAGATCAAATCGTGATGTGAAGTTTATAAAATTCACTTTCAAATGAGTAGATTCTATCGACAATATTTTCTGGTTGAAGGCTAGTTCGAATTCATGATCTGTGGGTTGATGAATTTGAAGGACATAGACACAATTAGGTGAAAAGTTGTATCTTAGTGATTCAAAAAGACATTTGAATCTTGACCTATTATTTTCATTTAAAGAAAGTTGGTTTCTTTAAGGTAAACTACAGCAGCATGCAGTTTATGCTTTCAAACAGTATATGTATTGATGTATTTCTTCTAGGTAAAAATTCGATTAGACAAAATATTTTCAGATCCTACTTCTGAATTCAACACAAATTATTGAAAATATATCTTTTCTGTAGCGATAATTTCGAGTTCGGCCTGGGTCGGCCGAAATCGAGCCACGGTCACATGAAACATCAGCTTCAAGCTGCTGCAGCCTGTTGTCTATCGATGGGAATACTGAATTTCATTAGTGACTGACTTGTCGAGTCTTTAACAACATTCAACCCTCATTCATTGTACGGGTTACGAATATGCTGACTTCGAAGGAATTGTAGTTTGCTAAGCAACAATTTTGATCAAAAGTGAGACTTTTAACAGAAGGAAGTATGCTGGGTTGGAATGTGCAAAAATAATTTCATGATTCCTACATGACCGGTGATAATATCACATATTATGTGATCGTATTTTCGAATACCGAAAGAAAAACGAAGGCAACTGTTTTGGATTCGCTGAAGACGGAGAAAATCAAATTGAAGTAATGCAGGGCCATAAATGCTATCGCAATATGAAACTTTTGAAATGATTAGAGCCTCACACAATTTTAGTTTGAGTTGTTTAGTGAGTAAGTTCCGATTTGGAAACAGTTACCTTGAGATGTCGAAAGACAATTGAATCAAATGGCTAACGTGTTTTGTAAAGCGCAGTTCAGAATCAAACCACAGGCATAAGTTCTTTGCTTCAGTTACAAAAGGCAGAATGTCATCATTTATATGAATATCTCGCAATCTTTTCGGTCCAAAGATCATTACTGCCGACTTTTTGGAGTTCAACTTCAATTTATGAGCTGATGAAATATCAAAGATGGTCAGTAGATCACGATTAATGAGGTTTTGAGCAGAATAAATGTCAGAAAACTGAAAAGAGAAGTACAGTTGAGTATCATCTATGTAATGATGAATGTTGCATTTTTCTACCGACTGATGGAAGTCACAAATATATGAGCTGAATAGTAAAGGACCTAGAATGGATCCTTGCGGAACACTTTTAGTTATGAGTAGAATCTCTAAGCTGATACCGTCCACCATAACTCTTTGAGTTTGGTTCGGTAATTTCACAGCGCATTCACAGAAAAACCGAAGAAGCTGAGTTTATTGCACAGGATGTCAAAGTCAAGAATGTAGAAAGCTTAACTGTAGTCCAGAAGTAATAAACAAGTTAATTTACTTTCATTTACAGCTTTGATGAAGTCGTCGGTGATGGAAAGTAAAGCTGTGGTTGTGCTGTGTTGAGGTCTGAAACCGGACTGCACGGGTGTGGTGATTTGGTGATCATTTATGAAGCTGCAAATTTGATCCTTCATGATCATCTCAACAAATTTTCAAAGACAAGGTAGGATGGTGATAGGCCTCAGGTCAGAGAAATCCGAAGGGGAGTTGCACTTAGCTAAAGGAATAATCACACCGTTCTTCCAACAACTTGGGAAAACACCCTTAGTTGAAATGGCATTAGCAAAAAAGGTTAACGGATCCAATAGATGTCTATCTAAGAGATGGATTATTAGGAGTGAGATATTGTCTGAGCCGACTGCGTTATTTTTGAGACGATTGAGGCAATTCTGTAAAACTGCAGACGAGACCGCACTGAAATGGAGAGGTTTATGAATTACTGAAGGAGAACGGTATCGTTCTTATAATGAAAATTGATTGTTTGAACGCTCAGGTTGGGGAATTGAACTGAAGTTGATGTTAATGAGGTTTGCGTCATTCAAGTTATTCGGGATTTCTGTATTGTTACTTTTTCTCAAAATTTCTAGTGATCTCTAAGTGTTCCAAGTTGCTTCCGAATTTTTCTTCGCATGAATAAAATCGAGTTATGCTTTTTTCTCACGACGAATTGCTCCGGTTGTGTAATTCCTGAGATCTTTATAACTATTCCAAGCAGTGGGAGAATGAGTTCGCTTGAATTTCTTGAAAGCACGGTCTCTAAGAGAAATCATTTCCTTGATAGTGTAAGTCAGCCGAGGGGCTGGTGGCTTTCTGACTTTTTACTGAGGATGGGGGTGTGCCTGTCAAACAGTTGGATAATATTTTTGTTCAGAAACAAAGCCATTCAGGCCAGTCTCAAATTACCTACACTGTAGGTTAATGGACTGACAGTTATCAGAAAACAACTACTTCTCTGGCTAATACCACAAAGGGCGTTGGATTATATCTGACAGGTGTCAGTGTAGGGTTTTCCACTGAAGTTATTCCTGCATATGCTGTTGGCGATACAACTGCCGCAATAGATTTTCAATTATTGGAACACATTTGCAGACTGGTTTCGGGCTGTTTGTCTACTCGTCAGTGCAAGGTAGTGTCTATCATCAATATAAAGTCGACAGTTTCCGATAATTGAAAATTGAGTTCTTTCAGTGTATCATTCCTCGAACCAGACTGAAGCGAACAACAAACAACTGGTTTATCATCGCCCTGTCTGCCTGTGAACGAGGTAACCAATCGCATATCCAGGTAAATAAAACTTGTCTGACAGGGATCGGTGCACAATTAACCTAGTACCTGTTTTTCTCAGAGTCATTAATATCATTTGATTGATCCATATCACCTAATATTACCTAATAAATAGAGATATATATATACGAACAACTCATTATACGTCAGCTCTTGTAGCAGTTCAGTAGTTGAGAAATTTTGCAAGATAACAAGTTCATATCGATTATAATTGGTTGGATCGTTTTCAGGTAAGTTGATTATGTACTTCATTTTATGAAGAATGAAAGTACATGCGTCTTTCGTGGGGAAAATTATTTGATATAATTCTTAGATATAAAGTTTTCGAATAGTGTATGTGTTTGTTGAATGGATGCGTAATTCATGTAGTTGAATATTTGTTCACTATGTGCATTTCTTAAGTTGATTCGTCTTATTTATTCTTAAAGTAATCCTAGTAGTGTTTGTTTCAGAATGGATAATGCACAAGGTGAAAAGGAAAGAAAACAATTTGGAAAAGTAAGTGTGGGTGCTTCTTTCGAAAAAACTATTCCATCTATTGGATGCCCGATAAAAGCGTCGATGACAGATTCCAATACCTCCGATTTATCTCCAGAAGAAAAGGAGTATTTTCTGGAGAATATAACCTACTTGAAACTCTTGGAGACTGATATGAAGATAAATGTCACTATTGTTGAAGAGAGAACGGTATTCAGGAGGATGATAATAATCAACTGGATGATGACAGTACAGTTGTGTCACTGTTTCAACATCGAAACGCTCCACCTCAGCGTTTCCATTTTAGACAGATTTTTCAGTAGGAAAAAATATATGAAGAATGAAGATCATTTCCTTATAGCAACGTCGGCTCTACTAATTGGCTGGAAGTACGAGAAAAGGAAGCACCCGGAGTTGCACAAGTTTCTTGAAAATGCTGTAATTCGTTACAGTCACGGAGAAATTTTTCGAATAGAACGGGAAATGTTGACTACTTTGAATTTTGGATTGGGGCAACCCTTGCCTTTGGATTTTTTGAAAATCTATAACACGATTGGAGGACTCCGAAGTGAGCATGAGTCCCTCTCAGAATTCATTCTAGAGGTGGCTATTCTGGATTTCAGGTTGAGTCACGAGAAACCGTCACTACAGGCCGCTGCAGCTTATTGTGTGACTTCGGCAATTGCAAGAAGAAGTTTAGATGTTTCGTCGATGTGGACATTCCAATTGGTTACTACCACAAATATCTGTTTTGCAGATTTTTGTCATATGGCATTCAGAATCATGGATCTTGCACCGTTATCATTTTCTCCGTATTTGACTGCGATGAGATTGAAGTACAGTAAGTTTTTCGAATTAGCCAATGGACTTGGAGTGTACTGTTGTACTAAACCCGACCATTTCTACCGTGACCATGACGTATAAATTGTTGATTAATTGTTGTACCGTTTTAAGCCTTACATTAATATTAGATAGATAGATAGATAGATAATTTTTATTCATCCATGACGCTTTACACAGTGCAGTACAGTAATAATACTTATCAGACTAGTCAATTACATATAACATGAACAAACACATAACATAAATGCATGGTTAATAGATTTACATATCAGAATTATCAATAGGAAAATTTAAAAACTCATCTACAGAATAAAACGCATGATCAATTAAAAAGTCATGGAATGTTGCTTTGAATACTCCAAATTTTTTTATTTCACCAATTTAAAATGATCCTGCAGTGACTACGGAATATATTCAGGACATTTTCAAATATTTGAGAATCATGGAAGGTAAGTATCCTATTCAGAAAGGTTTCCTCGATGATCACGAAATAACTCCTCAGATGCGTGCAATACTGGTCGACTGGCTGGTAGAGATTCACTTTCACTTCAACATGCATCAAGAAACGCTTCATTTGTGTGTTAGCATAGTAGACAGATATTTACAAGAGACAAAGGTGATGGAACGTGATGTTTTTCAGCTGGTTGGTGCATCGGCATTGCTAGTAGCTGCTAAATATGAAAGGACCTACATTCCCAGAGTGTATGAATTCAAGTTCTTGTGTGCCAGTCTTTATTCTAGCGCGCAGATACTGCATATGGAAAAAGACATTTTGAAAAAACTGGATTTCAGGCTGGGCTATCCCTTGTCAATTCATTATTTGAGGAGTTGCGGTAAGATTGCTGGGATGCAGAGTATACATCACGTTTTAGCTGAATATTTATTGGAGCTGGCACTTATGAAGTATGGAATGAGCCATGTGAAGCCTTCGCTGCAAGCCTCTGCGGCTTGTTGTTTATCAATGGGGATTTTGGACGATGTTATGAACTTGTCAAATCTGTGGACATCTACGCTCATATACTATACGGGGTACGATTATGCTGAGTTGGAAGATGCTATAGTTGGCTTCGCTAACATTCTGGTTGAAGATCACTCTCCCAGTTTGCAAAGTGTTAGGAAGAAGTATGCTGGCTCAAATTGCGCGAACATAAGTTTGAATCCGTTGCTGAAGGGAACTCTTGTTAAAAAGCTCGCCAATAGGACGTCAAACAGCTGGTTATGGTGAAATGGTATCAGGAATTAGCAAATTTTTTCTATTTCTAATCATGTAATATATTCATTATTTCAATAATCAATAAGTTTATCTAATGTTAATCAATAAGTTTATCTAATGCTTTCAATGGACTTTCATCTCCCATTAGCGTATATCGTCGTTTCTGAACTGAATGTTATCTTGTGATTGTTCAAGAAGGAGCTCAGAAGACAGGGTCATCTTTTGAAATTGTAATATATGCGCTCTATTTTGTAACATATGGCTGCTTGTACGAAATATGAAACTTACCAATTGTATCATTTTCCTTGTCTATCAACCATTATCTTTGTGTTCTGGGTAGGTAATGCTAATAATAGCTTCTTGACCTACTAACATAATGACTGTTTATAGTTGTGTTAGCCGTGTTACATAGCAGAATGAATTCACTCCCTTTTTTTCTGATTGATTCGGCCGTTACTTGATGAGTATCCATAGTAATTTCATAACCTACACCTTACTTAATTCACTACAAAAAAGCTACTATGTTAGCGAAACACGTCGTGCCGAAAAAAAACGGAGGCAACTGTTTTGGATTCGTTGAAGACAGAGGAAATCAGATTAAAGTAATGAAGGGCCATAAATGCTATCGCAATATGAAACTTTCGAAATGATCAGCGCCTCACATAATTTTAGTTTGAGTTGTTTGGTGAGTAAGTCCCGATTTGGAAAGAGTTGCCTTAAGATGTCGAAAGACATTTGAATCAAATAGCTAACATGTTTTGTAAAGCGCAGTTCAGAATCAAACCACAGGCCTAAGTTTTTTGCTTCAGTTACAAAAGGCATAACGTCACCATTTATATGAATATCTCGTAATCTTTTTGGTCCAAAGATCATTACTGCCGACTTTTTTTGGAGTTTAACTTCAATTTATGAAGTTGAACTCCAAAATATCAAAGATGGTCTGTAGATCACGATTGATGAGGTATTGAGCGGAATGAATGTCAGAAAACTGAAAAGAGAAGTACAGTTTAGTACCATCTGCGTAATGATGAGTGTTGCATTTTTCTACCTGATGGAAGTCACAAATATATAAGCTGAATAGTAAAGGACCTAGAATGGATCCTTGAGGAACACCTTTAGTTATTGGCAGAGTCTCTAAGCTGATACCGTCCACCATAACTCTTTGAGTTTGGTTCGATAAGTAATTGCTAACCAGAGACAGCGCATTCACAGAAAAACCGAAGGAGCTGAATTTATCGCACAGGATGTCAAACGTCAAGAGTGTCGAAGGCTTTACTATTTCTATAAGGTAAACTACAGTAGCATGCAGTTTATGCTTTCAAACAGTATAGCAGATCATATTCATTTTTATCCAAGTTTTTGCGTTATCCGTTTCGTTCGCGCCATTCAAGTTAATCGGGATTTCTGTATTGTTACTTTTTCTAGTGATCTCTATGTGTTCCAAGTTGCTTCAGAATTTTTCTTCACATGAATAAAATCGAGCTATGCTTTATTCTCACGACGAATTGCTCCGGTTGTGTAATTCCTGAAATCTTTATAACTATTCCAAACAGTGAGAGAATGAGTTGAAACAGTTGGATAATATTTTTGTTCAGAAACATAGTCATTTAGGCCAGTCTCAAATTTCTTACACTGCAGGTTAATGGACTGACAGTTCCCTGGCTAATACCACGAAGGGGTGTTGGATTATATCCGACAGATGTCAGTGCAGGATTTAACACTGACGTTATTCCTGCATATGCTGTTGGCGATACAACTGCCGCAATAGATTTTCAATTATTGGAACACACTTGCAGACTGGTTTCGAGCTGTTTGTCTACTCGTCAGTGCAAGGTAGTGTCTATCATTAATATAGAGTCGACGATTTCCGATAATTGAAAATCGAGTTCCCTCAGTGTATCATTCCTCGAACCAGGCTGAAGCGAACAACAAACAACTGGTTTGTCATCGCCCCATCTGCCTGTGAACGAGGTAACCAACCGCATATACAGGTAAATAAAATTTGTAGTACCTGTTTTTCTCAGAGTCATTAATATCATTTGATTGGTGCATATTACCTAATATTACTTAATAAATAGAGATACATATACGAATAACTCATTATACGTCAGCTGTTGTAGCAGTTCAGTAGTTGAGGAATTTTGCAAGATAACAAGTTCATATCGATTACAATTGGTTGGATCATTTTCAGGTAAGTTGATTATGTACTTTATTTTATGAAGAATAGGGAAAGTTATTTAATATAATTCTTAGATATAAAGTTTTCGAATAGCGTATGTTGTAGTTGAATGAATGCTTAATTTATGTAGTTGAACATTTGTTTACTATGTGCATTTCTTAAGTTGATTCGTCTTATTTATTCTTAAAGTAATCCTAGTAGTGTTTGTTTCAGAATGGATAATGCACAAGGTGGAAAGGAAAGAAAACAATTTGGAAAAGTAAATGCGGGTGCTTTCTTCGAAAAAACTATTCCAACTATTGGATATCCGATAAAAGCGTCTCTGACAGATTCCGACACCTCCGAGTCATCTCCAGAAGAAAAGGAGTATCTTCTGGAGAATATAACGTACTTGAAACTCTTGGAGACTGATATGAAGATAGATTCCACTATTGTTGAAGAGAGAACAGTATTTAGGAGGATGATAATAATCAACTGGATGATGACAGTACAGTTGTGTCACTGTTTCGACATCGAAACGCTCCACCTCAGCGTTTCCATTCTAGACCGAT